TCTCTGTCTGTCTGTCTGTCTGTCTGTCTGTCTGTCGGTCTCTCTCTCTTTGTCTGTCTGTCAGTCTGTCTGTCTGTCTGCCTGCCTGCCTGCCTTTCTGTCTGTCTGTCTGTCTCTCAATTTAAATTTTCAATTTAAGAGTGTTTTATTGGCATGACAAAAATTATACATTTGTATTGCCAAAGCAATTGCAGCTGGACTGCTCACAAATAGTACACATGTATTAACAGAAAGAAAAAGAATAATAGTAATAATAATAATATATAAAAAGTATTAAGCATGTAGTGCAAAATGAATTACTAATGTACGTAAGTATATAAACTAGAAATAAAAATTAAATAAGGGATTATATACATATTTACAGAAGCAAAATATACATCTAAGTAATATAATAGAGTAATCTGGCCTAATATAATGTAGCTGTGCTGGAAACATCAGATCAGGGCAGGCTGAGTGTGTTCTCTTCTGTGGTGACAGGCAGACACATATTGAGCAGCAAACACACAGCAGTTCTTCTGTTCTCCTAACAGATACAACACTTTCTCCTGGTCTGAGAGAGTTTGAAATGTCTGATGGATCTGCTGTATTTTATCGTAGAACACTGTTCGTATATCTGTGTATTTGGGGCATTCTGTTAGGAAGTGCAGCTCTGTTTCCATCTGATGTGATCTCTCTCTGTCTGTCTGTCTGTCTGTCTGTCTGTCTGTCTGTCAGTCTCTCTCACTGTCTGTCTGTCTATCTATCTGTCTGTCTGTCTATCTATCTGTCTGTCTGTCTGTCTATCTATCTATCTATCTGTCTGTCTGTCTATCTATCTATCTATCTATCTATCTATCTATCTATCTATCTATCTATCTGTCTGTCAGTCTCTCTCACTGTCTGTCTATCTATGTCTGTCTGTCTGTCTGTCTGTCTGTCTGTCTGTCTGTCTATCTATCTATCTGTCTGTCTGTCTCTCTCTGTCTGTCAGTCTCTCACTGTCTGTCTGTCTATCTATCTGTCTGTCTGTCTATCTATCTATCGTCTGTCTGTTTGTCTGTCTAGGCCACATCCCTGTTATTTCTAAGCCAGATATCTAGAGTTGTATGATGAGATATCAGGCATGTGGTGTCTTTAATATCGCATGTTCCTCCTCCGTTGGCGCAGGTGACGCGTCTCGTGAGCGCAGCGCTGCGTGGGGAGCTAATGACCACTGGGCTGGCCCGTGGGCGGCGCTTCACGCAGCAGGTTTGTGTGTGTCTCTACAGCAGCAGCAGTGAGACAGACAGACAGACAGACAGACAGACGGACAGACGGACAGACGGACGGGAGAAGACTGGAGCAAATGAGCGCGGAGAGCCGCTGAATGCGTGACAGAGAGAGGGAGAGTCTGCTCGGGAAATCACATTCGCTCTTTGGACAGAGGTGAGTGCCGCCTGGTCGTTATCGCTGTCACGCGTGGCGCGGAGCCGCAGTCGCGTTCAACCGGGATCTTGCGTGACGCGGAGACGCGCTGGCTGGCGTGGGGCGCGTGTCTGTGGAGAGCAGACAGAGGAAGAGCTGCTTATTCATCAAAGACAGCACTCGGATGTGGATCTGGCTTTATCAGCAGGAATTGCTCTGATTATAGGGATTCTTCTCCTCGTTTATGTGGTTTGAGATCTAATAACAGCGTCTGATCTGTGCTTGAGTTACATGTGCCTGCAACACAAGGTATGCTCGCCTTATATTCAATCTAACAACATCCAAATATATGCGTGTTGGATGATCATAATAATGACATCAATCTTTGTGGGATGTTTCTATTATTCACCATGTGTTATGTTATATTAAAACAATTACAATAATGTAAATATTTAATAAAACGATAAAAAATATTAATATATAAATGTGACATGTATTTTATTATTATTAGTAGTAGTTAGTACATTATTATTAATTGAATAAAACGTTAATAATTTCTGTGTAGTACTTATATTTTAATAAGAATTTTGTTTTATTTGACAAAATACAATCTGTAATATTAATACCATATAATTCAAGTTATTATTGCTATTATTTATTATTCTTAGTTAAATATTAATGTTAATAATGGTTGTAATATTTATTCTTTCATATATAATTTTATATATGTAAAATATGTAATATATTTTTATGTGTTTTTAATGTTTTATTTGACAAATAATACAATATGTAATAAAGAGTACTATTTCATTTAGCAATTTAATTAAATATAAATATATATTTAATATAAGTTAATAATGAATATTAAATATAAAAATTGCACAATTTATTATTTGTATTATTAGTTTTCATTATTATTATTATTATTATTACAAGGCTTGCATCCATGATTGTGTGTTGGTGTAGTTTATGCATTTATTTAAAACTTAATGAATATTGTTGGCTCTTTCGGATAACAGCAGCTGCAAAATGCATATATGTTAAAATAAGGGCCTAGTTACCCAACAGTCTGAAAATGCTCATTCAGTATTTACACTGCTGGCCGTGTAAAGCAGTTCATGACTGTCAATGTGTTCAGACTGGACAAATGAGAAATCTGCAGTCAAAAAATGCTACAGGATTGCATGTATAGATACTGTATTATGTTTTGGAAAACATCAATCTAACAAGAATCTAACCATATTCCGTTCTACTGGATGAACTGACATTCGGAAATGTTCAGTGGGTGTTTGGTTCCTATATATTGGATCGTGTCCAAAATACCATTAGCATTCCTTCAGGATTTTTGAACCTTTTCAGTGGTTGAACTACACTGGGCTTCCTTTTGCATGGAATATAATGAAAATAAAACATGTAGGTTCTTAATATGCTGAAGCTTTTACAAGTGTGTTTATTAAAAAGCATAAATTCAGAATGAAGTCTTTAGGGTTATTTGTGTGGTTTTATTACAGCGCTGTTGTTAATAGGTTCTCATTAGAGATGGTGGATTTCTGTCACATGCTGTAGATGATAGTGTAAGTGTAAGATAAGAGCAGCGGGCAGTGGTTCGGCTCGCTTTGGACTGAATTGAGTCACATGTATCAGCAAAATCCTTAAACCAGTTAAGTCAAGCGCACGTTTCTTCCGGGATATTACACCAGGCTCTGATATCTGTAAATGGCCTTCTGAAAATACCTCACACATGCGCTTAAAAGGTAAAGAGGAAGCAACAAGCGGCTCTAATGCATCGCTTCTGCAATCTTTCACTTCTGTACCAACCGAGTGGCTTTTAATCAGTCTCGGATCTAGTTTGAGGAGGGTTTTCATTCTCATAATGTTGTCGTCGTCGTTTAAGGGTATTTCTGCCATGACAACTCTCGGAGAGTTTAGCATGGCAATATACACGGCAGTGTCAATGTGTTGGGTCTTGGCAGAATAGATCTGCTACGCTGATCTGTACCGAGACTGCCAGTACATCCATGACATGCTGCTGAGGGCATGTAAGAAACACTGCTGCTATATGAGACCACCCCATATAAAACATACATGAAATCACCCCGTGGCAGATCTATACAGGTGGAGCTGGGGAAGGTGGAGGGTAGCCGAGTATTTTAATATTTGAGCAGCAAGTTCATTGGCTGCTGATACAAAAAGAACCAATCAGCTGCGCCACGTGAATAATGATGTCATTATGTCAGAATGAGTTAGAACCCATCGGTCTGCGCCATCTAGAGTTTCATGACAGAACTTTGTATTTTTAGCAGTGAGATGGCGTCATTGTGTTGCATGTTTGGCGAAATGCTTATCAGTCTAATTTGCTCTAGGTGTGATGTAAGCATTTTTGCATGTGGGCCACTGATTGCTTGAACGCACATGCAGGTCTGTGGATCTGTAGATGGCAATCTGTATCATTTATTTGGGGGTTTGTGCAGTCAAGAGTGAAGAGGGGGTCGGTGACTGTGAAATAAGCACACCCTTGGGCCACACATCACCATATGCTTTCAGTAACACCCTGTTTATCATCCCAAAACACGGGACAAAAAGCCAACCACCCCCTCACACACCCTCCAGATGTGCATTTGGCCCAGAAGCGCGGCTGTGTCTTCATGCTTCTTGTTATGTGAGTGTGTCTGACTGTACTTTATGATCGTTCCAGATTTGCAAAGGCATTTTACAGTCACAAATGATAAGCAAGATATTTCTCTTATCAGTACATGTGCATTGTCTGTCTTTGGTTTTTAGGGCACTTAACTCGTCTCTCAGGAAATTATGCAATTTATGGTGGAAGGATGATGTGGAAATTTATCATTTAAAGTTCAAATTACACACCTGGGGTCTCATGGATAAAATTTGTGCTATTTGTATAAAACTAGGACATCATTTTCCAATTATGAAGACTGCACACATGTCAGAATCTGTGCATGCATGCACAGATGTGTTTTTTATTTTAAAGTGCAATATATAATTATATAATATAATAGCGACAGCAAACTAGATCGTATATTGTAAACTTGACTTCTGAAAAAAAAAAATGTAAATGGTTTTGCCCATGCAAAACTCGTAACTATGATTCTAGAGTGTCATGGATGGTTGTGGAAATCAAAAGCTAGTATCTTCAAGCTGCTATAAAGGATTATTTTTAATATCCTTTGTGATTATTTCGGATATACACTACTGATTATAAGTTTGGGGTTGGAAAACGTTTTTGAAAGAAGTCTCTTGTGCTCACCAAGGCTGCATTTATTTGTAAACAATACAGTAAAACAGTAATATTGTGAAATATTATTGCAATTTAAAATGTTTTCTCTTTGAAAATATATTAAAATGTAATTTATTGCTGTGTTCAAAGCTGAATTTTCAGCATCATTACTCGTCTTCATTCAGTGTCACATGATCCTTCAGAAATCATTCTAATATGCTAAATTTGCTGCTCAAGAAACATTTCTTGTTATTATCAATGTTAAAAACAGTTGTGCTGCTTCATATTTTTGTGGAAACGTGATACATTTGGTTTTTCAGGATTCTTTGATGAATAGAAAGTTCAAAAGAACAGCATTTATTTGAAATAGAAATCTTTTGTAACATTATAAATGTCACTTTTGATCATTTTAAAATATATTAGAAAAATGTAAATTAATTTTTTTTAAAGCCTTTTGAACAATAGTGGACATGTTCATAATTTGATTATAGAAATAATGGAAGAACCATGGCAGAGTAGAAAAAAGAGGTTACTGATGCGAGTTGAAGCATGTGGGAATATTCTTTTTCCTGGTCTCTCTGCGAGTGTTACTAACAAAAGCAAGAATGCGGAGTGTGTTACCCAGTTACAGCGGTGGACAATGCAGCTACTCTGTACCGTTGCAGAGATGGGAATAAAAAGGGTTTTTCTTAAGGTCACTTCTTTAAAAAAAAAGCATCAGCACACAGGAAGGGTGTGGGAGTCATTGGTGGGCTCCTGTGCGTCTGATCTGGCTCCTTTGGTGTCGGTGGTCAGAAGCCGATTTTCATGTGAAAGGTGTCATATAATGAGTAGTCAGATTTTCCTTGATCTTTTGAAATGGTTCATTATACTATGATTATGAAACTAAGCTGAAATAACATCTCGCTCCACCTACATTTAAAGATAAATGATGTCTAATTGGTGCTCTAAAACAATTTTTATAAAGTCTTAAAGGAACACTTAAAGGAACACAATGATATTACGCAGCGCCTGAAAATAGGCTTATTGGAAGTTACCTAGCTGGGGACTATTTTTAGGTGCTGCGTAATATCATTGCGCCTGCTGCACCCGTGGTACGGCAGCAAAGTTCCTTGATTATTACACCGGAATGAGAGTATAGTTCCTAGCCATATCGGCCTAGAAAATTGTCCTGCAGAGTTGAGATCCATCCCCAATTAGACACACCTGAACCAGCTAATCAAGCTCTTACTAGGCATACTAGAAACCTCCAGGCAGGTGTGTTGAGGCAGGTTGGAGCTAAACTCTGCAGGACATCGGCCCTCCAGGACCGAGTTTGGGCACCCCTGGTCTAATCAGATTCAATGATCTATGCTAAGCTAAGCTAAAAGTGCTACCGCCAGACCCGGAGATCGACTGAATGGATTCGAAAACGGTAAAACTCAACTGTTTATCTCTAGGGGAGTTGGAAAATGAGCCTATTTTCAAAAATAGTGGAGTGTTCCTTTAAGCATCTCATAATATCATTGAAATTCATGTTGTTCTTGTTATGCATGTTCATAGCAAACTTTCTGTGTGTCTTAAAAATGGTCTTTGCTCAGGATGTGTATAACAAGAACTGGATGTAATGTTCAGAAACAGGATTGTATAACCTAATTTACTTCTGCAAATCCAGTCCGTGGATCTTCTGAAAGTTGAGTGAGTTTGTAGTTTGAGTTCGGGTTTTGAGTTTGCGTTCCTGTGGCCCAGTTTCCCCTGGCTTTTTAATCGTTATGCAATACCTGTCATTGTACGTTATCGTCTC